GTTTCTGTGATGACTTCCCTTGTACTGTTCACCATGTAAGAACTTATTCACTATGTAAGAATTCGTTCACCATGTAAGAACTTGTTCATTATGCTTCAGAAGATTGGAGACTGACGAGAATTAGGCTTGGGGTGGATTAATGATTGTGCATTGAGCATTGACTCCCGTATACAGAATTTTATTGTTCTTAACAACCATTTGATCAATAAATATGAGATGCCCTCTCAAAAAAAAAAAACGCTAAAAAAAAAATTAGTGTTTACTTAAGAGGCAACAAAAACATGTAAAATAGGAATCTGTTCTTCCATTCTACTTTGGGAAGGCAAGTTACAGAGCACCTGGTCAGGTCATAAATAGGAAAAGACAAAGAGAACATTTCTTCTTCTCCTTGATTTCTTCTGTTTCTGGTCTCCAAAATCTTCCTTCCTAATTACATTTACCCTAACATAAAAACCACTGAAGAAAAGGACAAGAGCATTTGGTGTATTTTTGAACTATGGACCATATATCACACCTGCTAAGTGGAAAAAAATTACAGTTAATGTCACCAGAATTATATATACTAGGTTTGATAATTCAAATTAACATATTCCTTCAAATGAAAATATTAAAAGGGAATTATTAAAAAATTAAACACAAAGTTGCAGGCTCTATGTCATAAATATTAATGCAACAAGAAACAAGTCCATGTTTATAGTCTAACTAAAGGACATTCACAGACCCTACTTAGGAATGCCTAATGTTTTATAATGAAGTTTGATGATGAGAATTTAGGAATGGGATTGACTGCTACTTTTGGGTGTACAGCTAACTTTATAACCTTAGGCAATGTTTACAATATATGCCTCAAAATTCACTAATCTCAAAAAAAAAAAAAAAGATAAATTAGGAAGAAATGAGGCAGAGAGGGGTAAGATATTAGTTGGGATATTTACATTCAGCTTTACTAGTTGATTGTATTTATTCATATAACAGCTAGTTAGTAGAGAATTAAAACTATCTAGAAAAGATAAAGTATATGTATCACAATACCACTCATTATTGTAGTAAAATAAAGTTAATGAACACCAAATTCTTAATTTCTGAACATGAACAAAAAAGTTATGCTGTGCACCAAAACAGGCCTGTTTGTTCAAACGTCCCATCTTCAAGAGTACCTGTGAGCATGTTTGAGTTTTGGCCAATTCCAAGGAATTTAGCTGTTGCAATGTTACCTGTACTTTTTTGTATGTCTGGAGCACTAAACCAACATGTAGGTTGATTGTGCAAATGATGTGATTTTTGGTAAACATCTACTTTGCTTTTGGAGGCCTGGAGTTTTGGTAATCACAGCTGGTCATAAGGCAGAATGTGCCTTCATCACCAGCTCCCAAGCCCTAGGCCCTGAAATCCAAGCACATCCTCAGGTAGAAACACTTGGCACAATCCACTGCAGCTCCGTGCTGAAAGAAAGAACCTGTTCTATGTGATGTCACAAGGAAGGACCCTGGAAGCCTATACCTGGTCCTATTGTATCTTGTTCCCATACTGATTCTGCTTTGTACCTCCTGCTGTAATAAACCACAGACATAAGCATAACCTACTTTAGGTCCTGTGGGTCCTCCCAGGAAATCATCAAATGTATGGGTGACTGTGGGATTCACAAAACAATGCTTCAGAAAATGAAAAAGCTGTAATATTAAAAATGCATGATTTTGTCTAACCATGCTGATTATAAGGAAAAACAAAACAACCAACATCATTTAGTAAGAAAATTATTAAATTTCAACTTACAAGGTAGGGGGAAGGCCACTCCACAGGGATTTAATGCCCTCATTTCGAATGATTTTCAAAATGGCATCCTAAAATTATAATAGAACAAAGTAGTCAAAATAGATCCCTGAACCTGATATATAAAATGTTTATAGTGATAACTGGCTGATAATTTGATTCTTACAAGCACTTATTTCTAAAATTTGAGTTTCTCAGATTTGTTATGTCCATTCTTTTTAAAAAAAGGCATCTTCTTCAGCTTCAAATACAAGCAGAACATTTCTGGATGATACTTTCTACTTATGGAATAAAAATCTGTATTACTCAGTCTTGGATTATTCTACTTAGGGCTTAGAAGCCAAATTTTTCAAGAATTATTATAAAAAGGAAGTGGAGCAATGACAGAGAATCAAATTAACTCTCTTGACCAATTATGAAATCTGAGAGAATATTATTTCAACCCAATATTTGAAATCTCTGGAGAGGAACCAAAAGCAGGCAGAAACTAGAGGCAACTGTGCTGTTAAAAGACAAAGTGCAATGAGTGAGATTTGAAGGTTGGAGCTTTTTACCAGTACAGTACCAAACAACAGCACATTTACTTCCTTGAGATGGCAAATATAAAATTCAGACTGATAGAATAATCAGAACATTAGGAGGACATCCTGGAAAAGAAGGCACTACAGAGGACATAAACCCCAAAGTCTGCATGCAAAATCAGTCACAAAACTTGGTTCTCCACTAAATTATGCAACCAGGGGAAAACAACAGAGTCCTGACAAAAAAAAAACCCAGCAGCTGAAGGCTAAATGAAAACTGCAGCTGAAGTCCACCACAGGGGAACTTGAGTTTGACGTGAAAACAAAGTTAACTGCCTTCTAGAACAAAATGGACCCCTTATTAGAACATAAAAGATTCCAGAGTCTTCACAGACTCCAAGAAGGGACGAGCGGTTACCAACGGGGAGGGCTTGGTGAGGGTGGGTGGGGAGGGAGGGAGAGGGGGACTGAGGGGTATCATGATTAGTACACATGGTGTGTGGAGGGGTCACGGTGAAGACAGTGTAGCACAGAGAAGACAAGGAGTCACTTTGTGGCCTCTTACTACACTGATGGACAGTGACTACAATGGGGTATGGGGGGCAACTTGATAACATGGGTGAACAGTAACCACAATGTTTTTCATGTGAAACCTTCATAAGAGTGTATATCAGTGATACCTTAATTAAAAAAAGATTCCAGAATCTTTGTGATGCATCACTCATAATGTCTATTATCCAATCAAAATTCATTAAGTATAAAAAGAAATAAGAAAATGTGCCCATACTCAAAGAAAAAGTAGTCAATAACACCAACACTGAGATGATTCAGGTGATGTAATTAGCAGAGAACTCTATTATAAATATCAAGAACTTAAAAGATGACATGCATAATGAAGGAACAAACCTGGAATTTCAACAAGGTAACAGGTACCACATAAAACAGTCAAATGTAAATTCGGAAACTGAAATAAAAAATTCACTAAGTGGGCTTAACAGCAGAATGTAAACAACAAAGAAAGAATCATTGGACTTGAAAATAGACCTTATTCAATCTGAAGAAGGGAGAGATGTAACAGGTGACAGCTTGGACTTGCAGTGGGCATCTGAAGTGGGAGCAGTCCTGTGGGATTGAGCACTTAGCCTTGGGAGCTGATATAACTCCAGATAGTGTCAGAATTGAGTTAAATTGTAGGATACCCAGTTGGTGTCTGCTAATAACTGGAGAACTGCTTGGTGTGTGGGGAAAGAGCTCACATATCTGGTTCAGAAGTATTGTAGGTAGAGTGTTCAGCTAAAATGATGAGTAGGCTCTTTTACACTTACTTTCACACAAAAACTTGTGAATGAATGTATGTAGCAGCTTTATTCAGATAGCTAAAAACTGGAAACATCCAGAAAACAAACTGGGATACACCCGTGCCAAAGAACACTACTAAGCAATAAAAGGGAACAAACTTGATAAATGCAACAACTTGGATGAATCTCCAGATTATGCCAAGTGAAAAGTGCCAATCCCAAAATGTTATATATTTATGATTCCATTTACATAACATTCCTGAAAGGATAAAATTGTATGAGTGGAGAACACACTAGTGGTTGCCAGGAGTTAAGGAGCAGTTGAGAACATAAAGGACATGGCTATAGAAGGGAACCCGGAGGAATCCTCCTGGTGATGGACTTGTTCTGTGTGATAACTGTACCAGTGTCAATGTCCTGGCCTTGGAATTGTACTGGTAAGATGTTACCACTGGGGGAAAGTAGGAAAAGGATGGGATCTGTCTGTATATTTCTCTTAAAATTGCATCTGATTTACAGTTAACACAAAATAAAAAAGGTTTAATTAAGAAAGTCTACTCCTCTTTTCCTCTTTACATTAAAAAATGCACTAACAGATAAAAACAAAGTTCACAGCAAGTTAAAAGCAAACAAGAACTTCCTTTTTCCTGCTTCAGTATTTACATTCTAACTGTAGATAAATGTGCTAGCTATATGACGGACTTTTTACTCTCCTCCAATTGGAAATCTTTCATATTTAAGATTAAATAAAAAAAGAGAAAACACACTGGGATTATAAATAATGTATCTCTCCTTACCAATGTACCCTGGAAACATCCAGGCTTCCTATACCATGCTTTGTTGCTTTCCTCTTCACAGACACACAGGTGATCCATAAGTCCATTACTATAAACAAAACATTTTCCTAACAAGGAAGATTCCAAGAGTCAACAATTACTTCACACAACTGTATTTTTACAGATGAACAAATTCAAAGTACAATGAGTGGACTAGAAAATTATAGGACATATAACCTTATCTCTATCTTCCAGGATGAAACATACCTAATTTGATTTGCTTAGTGACATGGCACTGGGCTCTAAACTCAGTGGTGAGAGGTAATTGAGAAAATTAGTGGATTTTGTTTTCAGAACTGTAGTAAGCAAATGAGCACAGAAATAAATTCTTGTAGGTTATGTGAGAGAATGCAGAGGGCAGACAAAGGAGGAAAACCTGTTTTGAAAAGAGAACATGTGAGTATGTCTTCTCTATCTGACCAGAAGAAAACTGTGATATGAAGGAAAACACAGACAAAAATATATTATGAAATTTAATATGTATCTGAAACTTACTAAAAGAGTACATCTGAAAAGTTCTTCCTCATAAGAAAAAATTAACTACATGAGGTGATAATGTTGACTAAACTTACTTCGGGGATCATTCACAATATATACATGTATCAAATTATTCTGTTGTATACATAAAACTAATATGTTGTATGTTGATTATCTGTCAATTAAGAAAAGAACTTCATGAAAGAAGTTCTTCTCAATTGCTGTAAATAATGCTGTGCTTTGTCCCTTTCTCTGTATTTGTACTGCTCAAACCAGATATTCATCAGGTCCACCTAATTTACTGTAACTTTTTCTCATCCCAACTCCTTCCCATTACTGGACTCACATTTGCTGCAAAAATTGTCTTCTCTTTCCACCATAAATGAATCTGTGAGTTTCATACTATGTAAGTCTAAGTGCCTCCTTCTGCTTTTAAGGCTTTGTTTAGTGTGTAGGAAACTACTATCAGTCTCCTTTTACCATCCATCTATCCTTTCATTCATCTGAAATATGCCTGTTGTTCATTCCATCTCACTGCTATGCATTCAACACATGGCATTTATGTCTAAGCCAACTTTAAACATATTTGAAATGCCACTATCTTTATAAACCTGTCAAAGATAGATCAAGGTACTGTTACTTTCCCTGTCTAATAAAAATATATAACTATTCTTCTAAAATTCCATATAAACTATACAGTCCAACAATTAACCAACCTACCTGATACAATAATTAATTTCCTATCACTGGATTCAAGCAACTGTTAGATGACTGTTCTAGGATGGGCACAGCTCTTCAACAAGAAGGAAGCTAGTCTCTAAGTTTCCTTACAAGTATAATTCTGCTCTTATTTATATACTCAAATACAAATTCATCCTCTGCTTCAGTTAGTAGATTCAGAAAAGTGTTATATGTGATATATATACATATATGTTTTCTGCCTACAACTCCTCATGTACAACTAAGTTATGAAAAAATGTTTCTGTATGAGAATAAAGAGACATCAACTTTTTTAAAAGTGACAAAAAGACGATAATATTATTTAAACAAAAATGAATGCAGTAACATTTAAAAATCTAATGCAATGTATTCAGGATAGCCAGTACAAATACCTTTAGGGAATGGGTTGTTTTGAGCTTGGAGTCGAATTTTAACAACATCAAGGGGTGTCACTATGAAGATACATAAATTTCAATTAGTAAGTAATACCTGTAAATTATATAGGTGTTAGTCCAAAGTGTACAAAATACATCAAATCAAATCTTTTATCATGACTATGAGTAAATTTATTTATAATCAAGTGGTTTTGAATGTAACATTCTAATTTTTTGCCCTTGAATTTTGTTTAAAGAGGATCAATGAGAAGACAACGTGATTACTTCTCTCATGAATACTAAACTGCCATTTACAATATATCTACAACAACAGTTCATTAACATTAAAATACTAGTGATTATAGCTGGCCCTGGAATGAGGATGTGGGGGTGGGAGCACTGATCCCTGCAGTCAGAAATCTTTTTGACTTCCTAAAAACTTAACTATTACTAGCCTACTGTATATAAAATGAGTCAATTAACTTCAGATGCAACAAAGGGTAGAAAAGAAGAAAAGAAATGGGAGGGTTGTAGGGTCCAACAGAGAAAAGAGAGCAAGCAGAGGGTGAATTAGCTGTTTCACTTGTCTCTACCAGGGCTGACTGCAGGTGGATCAGGCCCAGGCTGGAAGGGGTGTACTTTGAAGCAGCAAAGGTTTCCTGCTTCATTCTGAGTTGCCCGATCTGTCTTTAGCTCTCAGTTTCAGATCCTGTGCATTTCTCTCTGATCCAGAGAACAGCCAGTTACCTCAGCTGGTTAGTGTGGTGCTTAAACTCCAAGGTCATGGGGTTCAATCCCCATACAGGCCACTGTGAACATACAACATTCTCCCCTTTTCCATTTAAAGCAACCCCATCACCTGTGAAATGTGCTGCCTTATATCCAACTACAGATACTATACATTGATTGAAAAATATCCGCATATAAGTGGATCTGCACAGGTAAAACCTATGTTGCTCCAGTGTCCACTCTCTAAGAAAGTATGTAATCGAGGATAAATAATATTAAGTTCCAAAAATCTATTTACATATTTGAGAATAACTGTATTACAAGTAATCAAACAATACTATTTACCTAATCTGTTAAATTCACCTCTTCATATAAAAACTATAAATAACATGTATTTAAATAAGCTAGCCATAAATCATCTTTACCACCATGTTGTGTTATTCCATTTGGGAAGCGCACAGCAAAGGAGAGAGGCTTTTTTTTTTGCATGCTATATTGTATCCAAATAGAAAAAATGCAAAATAGTGGTTCTAAGAAAACTTTTCCTCAAGAGAGAAAGAAGAGTTATCATTAGATGACTTCTAAGTCCTATACAACCTAACATTCTGACATGAAGTAAGATACTATGTCCTAAAGCAATTAACTTGTTTATTCTAGTTATCTGCTATCTTATTTAAATAAACCAGCCAACTTAAAAATCATTAAAATGCCAGATTATCACCTAACCATGTCATTGGCTGTGTCGGTAACTAGCTTCAAAGAACAGAAAAATGTCACTCAGAAATATTTAAGAAATTAACTGTTAATGCAAGCAAAGTAAAACATAATTTATATTTGTTGCTACTGTAAGTTACTCAAATTCTGTATCATTCATTATGCAAATATTCTATTCCATCTTCTGGCTTTATATTTTAAAAAAAGGATAATAGAGTCATAAAAGTTCAATATTGACAGGGACCTCAAGACCTCCTGGTCTAAGTCCCTATTTTATGATTGAAAAATGAAGTTTGGAGAGGAGACACTATCTCAAAGTGCATTCGCCCAGAGAATGGCAAGGCAGGGAATAAAAATTAAATCTCTTGATTCTCCATCCAGGGATATTTTCATGTCCTCATGCTGAAGGCAGGATATTATCATGATGAAGGATGAATGATGATTATTATTTCGAACAGTAAAGCCCAAGCGGAATTCATTCAGTTATGTAATCTTACATCAGTAACATTATTTTACCCATTAGTGATGTCAGTATAGCTCCAGTACAAGAGGCAACCATTTGTTGAAGAGGTGTCACTTTGATAATTTGTGGTCCCTCTGCTTCAGGATCCATATTTCTAACTACCTGAAGAAAAATCTGTTTAAGAAAAGCAAAATAGAAAATAACATGGAATTTTTATTCTTTTCCATTAATGGAAAATGCCCTCAAGATTGACTGCTAAAAATTCAATAAGCTGTAAAAGCAATAATTGGAATTAATATCAAACCACATGTGTTGACTATCAAAAGTAAATATATGAGTTTTATATGCAAAGGAACTACACAACTGTCAGTAACAGAACATGTTCTCTGATTTTCTGGAAATGGTCATGTACTTCAGCTAAGCTGTTTGTAAGACAGTAAATAGAGCATTAAGAATACAGGCTTGGCCATGTCACAGAATGAAAGCAGCTTACAAACAAAGCTCAGAATCTGTTAATTTAGCCTCAATAAGAAAAGTTACCAGCAAATATACAGGAATACTGTTATTACAAACCAAAAAGTTGTTGCAAAGGTATAAAATAATGTCAAAACACATAACCCTCATAAGATGCATTATCTTAGAAACACTGGCAATATACAGGAGACATCTTTCCAAATATCTATGAACACACAAACTCACACGCACACATGTATGTGTATGATTATCTACATATACATGTATACACAAGTGTGTGCAGTTTATATACTTAACTAATCAAACATGTACCATCATTTGTGTATCCGTACATGCATCTTATTTAAAAACAAAAATAGGTAAGTAGGGGATATTTTTATGTCCTCATGCTGAAGGCAGGATATTATCATGATGAAGGATGAATGATGATTATTATTTCGAACAGTAAAGCCCAAGCGGAATTCATTCAGTTATGTAATCTTACATCAGTAACATTATTTTACCCATTAGTGATGTCAGTATAGCTCCAGTACAAGAGGCAACCATTTGTTGAAGAGGTGTCACTTTGATAATTTGATAATATTGTTTAGTAGCCACCTTTAATGCTTAAAAATATGGGCATTATGTCAATACAGATTTACACTACCATTTTTAATGTTTGCTGTTCTTAAATATTAACCAGTCTCATATTATTAGATATTTAGCTTGTTGCCAGTTTTCATTCATTTCATACACTCATATACACACACATTTTTGTCTTAGAGAAAAAGTAAGATTGCTGGGCAAAGCTAAAAGCTTGAGTCAAATTGCCAAAACACTTTGCATAAAGATTGATCAACTTACACCTCACTGGCAATACGTTAAATTCCTATTAATCCACAACTTCACCAAATTCACTCTCACATTACATATTGTTTACTTCTTCTGAACCAAGGTATACACAATACCCCATCATCTTAAATACTTCAGAATTTACATAACTCAGTTAATTATCAAATTGAAACTTAATATTGATAGTGCCCTACAGTTCATATTCCAGTTTTGTTGGTTATCCCAGTAATGACCTTTATAAAAAAGAGAATGACAACTTTATTGTTTCTTTAGGCTTTTATTTCTTACCTACCTGGTTTAAGTCTTTTTCTCAATTCTATGTTCCAATATTTTATTGTTTGTAACATCAGTAGCAGAAAATCTGTAGTGAAAAAACAGAGAAATTGTTTTATCTTTTCACAAAGGAAAGGGATAATAAGACTAAAGGAAAGGAGTATGTAAAAAACTTAAAAACACAAATTAACATTTTGTAACATTTTTCTAAGTTGACAGACAGTAACCGCATTATAGGGCATGAGAATTTAATAATACGGGTAACTGTTGAACCACTCACTGTGTTGTACATCTGAAACCAATATAAGATTGTATATCAACAATACTTCAACACAAACAAAAACAAAAAACACAAATTGACAAATATTTATTGAATGCTTTCTATGAAGTGTTTTGAAGAATATGAAAAGCTCTTCACAAATGCTAACTATAGAGTTATGAAAGTATTTTCACAAAAACTTCATATTATCCCAGTACATACTCTGCTTTAAAAACAATTCTAGAATCTTAACACTTTGATCAATTTTAGTATCACTGAGTGCAACAACTACATTTTGTGACACAAAATTAAGTATCCAGCATTCTCTACTAAGAATTCTTTTGGAAAAAAAAGTTTAATCTGAATCTAAACAATGCTTTAGATCTAGCTTCCAATTTATAGGAAATCCAGATATTAAAGTACATGGTATAAGAGTACACAAAATAGGAGAAGGTATAATACTCTAGTCTATAGAACTATTGTCTCGGTTTGCCCAAGTGAAGGTAAAGTGGGAAAACAAGCGGCAGGGGAGGGAGAACTGTCCCAGAATATAGGAATCCTGTGAGTTACCAACCAAACGTATCCTAGTTCAAGTAAATAAGCTTTTAAAAGCCAGTTTGAAGGTACCTGAAGAAATCTGGACAGTTATTCAGATAGTAGATAACATCTGAATAGTAGATAGGGTTGGAGAGTAGATAAGATTAAAAAATTATTGTTGACTTTGGTGGGATAATGGTACTATGGTATGTAGAAATTGTTTTAAAGGATTCATATTTAAATATTAAGGGATAAAAAGTTATGATAGCTGTAGTTTACAATACTTCAGAAAAAATGAACATACTAAAATATTAATAATCTGTTAAATCTAGATGGTAAGTAAAGCATAAGTATTTCACTGTTCTGTATTTTTCTGTACATGGGAAAATTTGCACAATAAAAATTTTTTAATTCCCAAAATTTATATAGAATCTGCATGTCTAAGAATGTTTCTTCTAACACTCATTTAGATGAACACAGTTTTTTTAACTGGAAAAATAATACAACACACTAGAATATAGGTTATGCTCCTCCTCAAGAAGAGTAAAAAGGTCTATAGTGCTTTATTTTGACACCCATCCCAGCAAAGTTGGCAAACAATATGCGCACCTGAAATTAAAGCCAGAAAAATGGATATATTTCTAGCACTTATTTAGAATGTAGGGGGAAAATCAGAACTTTTAGATATAAATTTTGGGGACCAAGAATTTAAGTTATTAGATTTTTTTTATTATTTCTTAACATACATATTTTAGAAAAATAAACTTCCTAAAACCCTAACATGTATCTACTTAAAATGAGATCAGAAAAAATTAGTCTTTTCACTTTATCTGAAAAATAACATGGGAAAAGTGGATAACGTAACCACAGGTTTGGGAGCAGATGGAGAAAAAGTGAAGTAAAAAGTGGGAAGAAAAAGTGAATTGTCTGGAATTAACAATGTATTCTCCAGTCCTTTAAATTTCTTACAGTCCTATCAACTTACTTATCTTTTGTTTTTGCATCTTTCCACTCACCTTTGTTGCAGGTACTGTTCCCTTTTCAGGGAGCACAAGGACTCATTGGAGTGATTACTTTCACATGAGTATCTCAGGTAACCTTAGGACATCTCATAGAGCCATGTTAAGATCTGCAAGAAGAGCTTTCTCCCTCAACTCCCTGAGCAAGTCCTCCTCGCCATGCCTTTTCTGCTTTCTGTTTTTTATTACTTGATATTAATGAGGTGCTATCCCTCGCCTAGGTGGTCTTCACGTGTAAGTGGCAAACATTCTCAAACACAAATAATTTGTGAGTTGTTCCAGGGGAAGAAATGAAAATTAATGACCAAAACACTCAACTAAGAGGTAAGTGGAGATGCTTTAGTAAAAGAGTTAGGCAATATCTGACTAAGTCAGAAAATGGTAAGTCAGTATATACTTAGCACCATCAGATTTTTTTTATTAAGGTATCATTGATATACACTCTTATGAAGGTTTCACAAGAAAAGTAATGTGGTTATTACATTCACCCTTATTATCGAGGTTCCCCCCCTCTATACCCCATTGCAGTCACTGTCCATCACTGTACTAAGATGCCATGGAGTCCCTGTTTGTCTTCTCTGAGCTACACTGTCTTCCCGTGACCCCACACACACCATGTGCACCAATCATGATACCCCACAATCCCCTTATCCCTCCCTCCCCACCTGCCCTTCCTCACCTCTCCCCTTTGGTAACCACTAGTCTCTTGGAGTCTGTGAGTGTGCTGCTATTTTGTTCCTTCAGTTTTAGCACCATCAGATTTTTTAACTTTTTCAGTCAAAATATGTTAAATGTTATCTTACAGTCTTGACTTACATTCCCTTGATCAATAATAATGCTGAACATCTCTTCACATTTTTATCAGCAGTATGAATTGCCTCTTCTATAGTATATTAATTTATATTTTTTGCCTGTTTTTCTTATGATGCATTTATATATTTTTAATGGCATGAGGAATCTTTTACACTTAATACAAATTATTTTAGATTGTGTGAACTATATCTTCTCAGAGTCTTTAACTTATTTTTCCATCTTTGAAGTATCTCCTGATAAACCAAAGTTCTCAATATTTGACAGGAAGAAGGTGGGGCAGAGACCAAATGAAATATACCTTCTTAACAAATTATGTAGTCATCACTACTCAGCTAACCATTTGAGGTAAAAATTATAAAAATTACCATCCTAAGTATTGTTAAGGGATGTTGAGCAATCAGAACTTGCATGCTGCTGAGAATATAAAATGGTAAACTGCTTTGGAAAATATTTTTAAAAATTAAAAAAAAAATTATTAAGTTAAACGTGCATTTGCCATTTGATCCAGCCAAAGGTCTGAGGTTCTTTTGTAAGCTATGGTGACTACAGTTGATAATACTGTTATATAATTGAAATTAGCTAAAAGAGTAAAATTTAAATCGTGGTAGTGCTTTGCATTTTTCCAAGGAATAATGATGTTATGCATCTTTTCATGGGGCTAATTGCCATATCTTCTTTAACTATTTTTTCTTTTGTTCCTTGTGCCACTTCTAAAGACTAAAATAGGACAACAGTGATAAAATGTCACTTTAAAGATTAAGATATAAAATATTGTGACTTCCATCTTAATTGATGCTTTGCTCTCTCACTTGCTCTTATGATACAAGCTGTCACAGTGTGAAATGCCTTATGAAGAGGCCCACCTGGGCACCAAGGGCAGCCCTGAGCCAACAGCCAGCACTGAATTGAGGCCCCTCCAGTCCAACAAGCCATAAGAAGCTGAATCTTGCTAACAACTACATTGGTGAGCCTGGAAGCAGGTCCCTCTCCAGTTGAGCCCTGAAATGAAAACCTCAAGGAGCACTTCACTGCACTCAAGGACTAGCCATACTAGACCACACCCAGATTCCTGATGCAGCAGCTTATGATGGTAAATATTCATTCTTTTAAACCACCACATTTTGGAGTACTTTGTTACACAGCAATAGTTAGCTAATATAGCATCTGCTGAAATAACCATATGGCTTTTCCTTTTCAGTTTGGTTATATGGTGTATATTTGTCATTGCTTCATTTTTTCATGTTTAACTTTCCTTGCATTCCTAGGATAAACCCCACTCATTTGTGATGTTTTATCCTTTTGGTATAGCACTGGTTTTGATTTGTTAAATTTTGCTAAGAATTTTACTATCAGTGTGAATGAGGGATACTGGTGCATAATTTATTCCCCTTGTGTTGTCTTTATCTTGTTTTGATTAATGTTTGACAGAACTGGGTCATCTGGGCCTACCCTTTTCTTTAGTAGATAAGATATTTGTGTTAATTATTCCTTCTTCTGTAAGCTTTACTAGTTGGTATACTTCAAAGAACATGTCCAAAAAATTGCTGAATTTATGATGATAAGATTGTTCATAATAGTGCTTTATTCTCTCAATGGCTATCAACTCTATAATTATGGCACCCTTTTTTCTTTACACTGGTTGATTTATTTCTTCTCTTTTATTCCAGGCCAATCTGGAGATTTATAAATACTACTGATCTTCTAAGAAAACCAAAATTTGATCTCATTTCCTCAATTGTTTTTTTTCTATACCATTGCTTTCTCATACTTACTGGTTCTTTTCTTTTCACTTTGGTTTTTTGACAATATTGATTTAATCATTCTCCTTTTCTAACACAGTCTTTGTACTTCTAAAAAGTCCCCTATAAGGACTGTTTAAGCTATATCTCACAAATCTAATTATGTTGCTATTATCATTCTGTTTGAAATATTTCCTCATTTCCTGGTTTTTCTTACACCATTCTTATGGGTTTCAGTATCTAGTCCTAGTCTATGCTGATCTTAGGAAATGAGTTGGAGAATATTTTCTCTTTTGGAAGAATGTATGTAAAGTTGGACTTATTTGTTCCTCAAGTATTTGATACATTTATCTATGAATTTTAATTGCATCTGTGAATTTCATTTTGTTTTGAAAATATGCATAATTTTAGTATTTGTTGGACAGATATTCAACATATAACTCATACATTTATTTGGTGGTGAAAAGGCTATGAGTATTTTGCACAGAAGCAATCACCAACCTTACCACAAAAATGAAATAATAAAATGTAAGTCAATCACTGCAACATGAGAGCTACAATGCTATTCATTCTGTACATGGGTTTCTCATAGCCACAAGTATTCAATTCCACAAATTACTATAACAATTTAAATGCATAAATATTATTCCATTTGGTAGCAACTACTTAAATGAGGTATTTTACACAAGCTATGTAACAACATTCATTTTTTACGCCACTC